ATTCCTGCCTGGTGCAGCTGGAGTAGGGATGTCTGTGTGCATATTGCAAGGAGACTTAATCATGCTTTCATAAATAAAATCCTTTCACATGAGATTGACGGCCTGGATTTTGCAAGTTACTATCTGAGTGACTTGAACACTTACGTTCTCGCTGTGTTGTATAAATTCTCCAGGTTGTTTCAGTTAACCTTGCACTCTTCACATGGTTCAGCTTGGTGTGGTATGTTCTTAAATCTGCCTCTTGCGCACTGCAGTTGTTCAGGAAATTTGTTTGGAACTGTTTGGGAAAGGGCATGGAAACCTTTCACCCCCAAGCATTGGGGCAGGGGTTTTTACCTTTCTCTTGCCTGTTGCTGGGATAAAGCCAGGTGGTAATAGAGTGTGCTTACTGCCCTCTGATGTCCTGTGCGGGTGTTTGGCTTATTACTGCAATAGTCTGTCTGCTGGGCACAAAGATGCACTTATATCTAGGGTGGCTGCACTTCTGCAGGAAGTAGAACTGAGCAAACAGAAGACAGCCCATACACAGATGATTCAGCCCTGCTTATGTCAAAGGTCCTTGTTTCCCTTAACATACCAGTCAGCATGGACGGAAGAAATTCTGTGCAAGGTAAGCCACTAGTGATGACAAATACTGGCTCGTGTTGTGACAGCAGGTACAAATGCTTCCTGTGACTGGGCAAAGGAAAACCCAAAAAAAAGCTGGTTGGGTTGTTAAGTGGTGTGAAAGGACTACATTTGTTGCAAGCGGTTTTATTGTCAGCCTCCCTTTGCGGTGGAATATTTCTGTTCCTCATCTGGAATAGGAATAAAAACACAGATTATATCACTTATTGTAGTGTGCATTCATTGTTTTTTAGTGATATTTCTCTTCTCATAATTGTTCCTGGGTCTGCCTCTTAGTTGCCTATTGGGTCTGTCTTTCCACATGCTACTGGGTCAAATGGAAAGCAGTAAACAACTGAATTAATGTTTGTGGGCCTAAAGTACAGAATCTTCTACTTCAGCTGCAAGTTTTATACTAATGCTTACATAAAAAAAGACAAACTTTTTTTTGCACAGCAATTTTTGAAAATTAATGTGCGACTAAAATGTACAAAAATGCTGTTAGACAAAATGTGGGGTGTTACGCACACTCAAGTGAGATGTGGTTCATATCTACACTCATATTTATCTGCTGGTGTTGGGGAAGAGCGCTGGCAGACCTTTAAAGGTGGCAAGCAGTCAGGCTGTGTTTTGTCTCCAAACATTTGACCCTTACTGGAGCATGTGTTTTTAAACGAGAATTTTCTGCTGAAAGCAACACCACGGCAATACTTGCTCTAAAATTACTGCTGGTTAACAGCGGTGCAGACATCAGAAATCTTTCAAGGGTTTGTGGGTGTTTCCATGGGATGTGCTTTGTCCTGGATCCAAATGCTGAAGTAATGACTCCATTTAATGATTTTTACATCGTTAGCAACTCTACCTTTTCTGTTTACTTTGCCTGTGCTCCCATGGGTGTTAAAATACTAAATGACTATTAGGAAAATCTCGCTCACCTTACTTGGTGTGCTTCAGGGAGCAGGTTGGGGTGTGCTGGTGTGAGTCAGGGCTGGAAGCGCTCTGCCTGGAGCCGGGCCTGGCACAGGAGGGAGAGCAGAGGGAGCAGCTCACAAGGAACCTGTCAGCTTTGTCCTTGGACGTTTTATTGGTCCATGGTGGTGTGATCATAAACACACGTTACCTCAGTCTTCATTAGGCACGCATAGCTTCATTGAAGAGATCGTGAGTTTCGCTGCGCTGTGTTTAGGGCTTGGCTGTGGGGAGGAGGGAGGGTCAATTTTTTTCTGCATGGATGTGACCGAGACGTTTCCCCTGCAGCTGCGGGAAGAGCATTGTTGCAATTCGCGGTTTGTAGTGCCGCGGTGCGGGAGGGAGGGAGGAGGGGCGCGAACCGCGGGATG